CCAATGCCAATGTACGGTATTTTTGCAATCGGAATTGTTCTTGATAGGAAGTCTTATTTATCGATTTTGAGATACCTATTAATATAACCAGCTAGCCAATACTTCCAGGAGAAATCATATATCTTTATCGAAAAGATTAATACATTTTCTATAATGGTTGTTTGTTTTTTTGGCCCTCCTTTATTTGGTTTTTTAGGAAATAGGGTTTAAAGAAACCGGACCAATACATAAAAATTCAGTATGTAGGGAGTGCAATGCGTACGGTATAAAATGTATATACATATTTATGTACATATGTATGTACATATATATGTACATATGTATGGACATATGTTTGGATTGCTGGCCAAACGGCTTTAGAAATAAATATGGAAGCGGTGTCCAACTGATAAGTCAGTTTTTTATATAATTGGTTTTCTTTCTTTTTTATTTGAAAATAATGTCTAAACAAGTAAACTAAATATTTTTTGTTGAGAGGAAGTCATATTCCTCGGTTTTTAAGAAAGGCTACCCAGAACTCTTAAGGCTTAACATATAATTTGAACAGAAAGATAAATCATTTTTCTATAGTGGCGGCTTATTTTAAGGATTTCTTTTTGACTGGGTTGTTTTAGAAATATGGTTTAAGCAAAAGGGGCCAATGCCAATGTACTGTATTTTTGCAATCGGAATTTTTCTTCATAGGAAGTCTTATTTATCGATTTTGAGATTCTTATTAATATTACCAGCTAGTCAGGACTCCCTGGAGAAATCATATAATTTTCTATACCCTCTTTTATTTGTTTTTGTAGGATAATTATTATTTCATCGGTACCACCTATTGTCGCAAAATATATATTTTGTCCGTCAGGCAATTATATTCGTTTATTTGAATGTAATTTTGTGGATGGGGCGGTTCCCTCATTGGCTATATTTTTGACTTATTTTTCCTTTATCGATATACTTATGCCTACACATTTACACAGTCGGCCAGTCACATGGCTCTTTCATTTGTAGATGTCGCAAGCGACTTCTCTCGGTCAGTTTTGGGACTAGTATACGAATATTTGCATCGAAAAATATGTAAATATTAACCAAAAAACAAACATTTTGTATTGAAAATAATGTCTAACAAATAAAGCTAAACATTTTTTTGAAAGTTAGTCATATTCATCGGTTTTTAATTTCTGTTTAATATTACAGGGTACCCAGAACTCTTAAGGCTGAACATATAATTTGAACAGAGAGATTAATCATTTTTCTATAATGATGGCTTACTTTAAGGATTTCTTCTTTGCTGGGTTGTTTTGGAAATATGGTTTAAACAAAAGTGGCCAATGCCAACGTACGGTATTTTTGCAGTCGAAATTTTTCTTGATAGGAATTCTTATTTATTGATTTTTAGATTATTGTTATTAATTAATGTTACCAGCTAGCCAGGACTCCCAGGACAAATCATATAATTTTACCGGATAGATTAATAAATTTTCTATAATGGTTGCTAGTTTCACGGACCCTCTTTTATTTGGTTTTGCAGGAAATAAGGCTTAAAGAAACCGGGCCAATGCATAAAAGTTCAGTATGCAATGAAAGCAATATGTACGGTACAAAATATGTACATATGTACATTTTACATACTGGCCAACCGGCTTCTGAGATAAATATGGAGGTTATGAAAAGTCTAAAAATCTCAAAAATACAAATGTGAAGGTTTTAAATAGCGAAAAATAAAAAAACCTAAAAAGCTCCCATGTACTGAATTATGCACTTTTCGATATTTTCACTTTTTTTAAATTTCTAAATTTTGTAATCAACAATATGCTTGCAGATTTGACGTTAAATATTTTTTGTTTATATTCTAGTAGTACTAACGTCAAATTAAGACATTTCTTATAATAATCGAAGAAGACTTCATGAATTTATTAAACATTTCCTATGTTGCACCTGAGACAGCACAAACAATATCTAAAAAATTGAAATATTCTTGTGTAGCTCACTGAAAAATGTCATACGAAAGCTAATACTCTTGAACAACATGGCATTAGTCAATCGGTGGTGATCAGAGTGGAAAAGATGCGAAATTTTGTCCCGAATCTGCAAGTCCAAGGTCGCCAAGTACTGGGTATACAAATTTTACAGTTATGTTGTTCTATAGCGGCGGCCATACAATATTTTTAAGTAAAATAGCAGCCCCATGAAATTGTAATATTATGTTAAGTATAGTATAAATACAATAAAATCCACCTTATCGTAACGTATACTGGCTCCCCTGAACCTGCTGGTTCAGGTCCAGGATGGAGTTGGTTTACGTTACGATTAGACACTCTCGTATTGCCACCGCAGCATACGACAAACAAAAAAGAATATAAGCAAAAAATATTTAACGTCAAATCTGCAAGCATATTGTTGATTACAAAATTTTGAAATTTTAAATAAGTGAAAATAACGAAAAGTGCATAATTCAGTACATGGGAGCTTTTTAGTTTTTTTTTTTATATTTCGCTATTTAAAACCTTCACATTTGTATTTTTGAGCTTTTTAGACTTTTCATAACTTCCATATTTATCTCAGAAGCCGGTTGGCCAGTATGTAAAATGTACATATGTACATATTTTGTACCGTACATATTGCGTTCATTGCATACTGAACTTTTATGCATTGGCCCGGTTTCTTTAAACTTTATTTCCTGCAAACCCAAATAAAAGAGGGCCGTGAAACTAGCAACCATTATAGAAAATTTATTAATCTATCCAGTAAAATTATATGATTTGTCCTGGGAGTCCTGGCTAGCTGGTAACATTAATAGGAATCTCAAGATCAATAAATAAGAATTACTATCAAGAAAAATTTCGACTGCAAAAATACCGTACGTTGGCATTGGCCCCTTTTGTTTAAACCATGTTTCTAAAACAACCCAGCAAAGAAAAAATCCTTAAAAAAGGCCGCCATTATAAAAAAATGATTAACCTTGCCTGTTCAAATTATATGTTCAGCCTTCAGAGTTCTGGGTAGCCAGTAATATTAAACATAAATTAAAAATCGAGGAATATGACTTCCTTCACGCTTCACGCCTCACCGTACAATGGTGGACACTAAAAACATTTTTTCTACATGAGCATGTAGAGCATATCGAGCATATCCATACACGCACCTGGATAGGAACCTTGCTAAGCAGCAAATCCGGTAACAGTCAACACTAGCGCCATATAGCGAGAATTCACTGAAAAGCACCCTCTTGTATCGCTTTCTACTGTGTGGCGTCACCTAGCGATAATTTGCTCCAAACCCAAGGCCCTCTTACTCACTTACTACTACAATTTATAAAAGAATGAAAACCATGTAAATCGCAACTATGCAACAAAAATTCAACATTTTAGGTCAACTATAAACAGATCACAACTTTTGGCAGACTCTACTCTGAATATCGATATATCGAGTATCGATGCCTCTCAGAATATAACACGCTGCTGCAGCGCTGCTTCGTGCTTATCTCCTCCTCCTTTCGTTTTCTGTTCTCTGTCTGTGCGAGTCGCTTAAATATTTTAACCTGTGTTTTTGCGTTGTAAAAGTGTTTATAAAAGCCTTAAATATTTTCAAAGCGTTCATAAGTGCGTAGTCTAACTATTGTTTATTGAAAATCGTTTGTGGCTGTGTTTTTATCAGAGTAATAAGTGTTTTTAATCAAGCCAACGTGCAGTCGTTGCGCCATCTTGTTCGTTTTTGCAAATTCCTTTCGTTTCGTCGTGCGCGTAGGTTTTAAACGTCATTTGTGAGACTAAATTAAATAACTAAGCGAAAATGGAGATCCAAATGTGTTTCGATGAGTATTTCACAGAAGCAATAAATGATTCTTTGATACGAAAACTCGAAGGACTGCAGCTTTATGACCAAAGGTAATTATCCCTCTTAATTGTTAATCTTTCGTATGAGCTCTGAAGAATTCCTTCTTGAATTTGATTTAATGTTTAAATTTTAAACCCAATCAACAAATTACAGGTCGTTTATTTTTGCTATAAGTTGCATTAATTTCCATTAATTTGTTGCCATTCCTCCATTTGTTTTTCTCACAGCGACATAGCTGCCAGCAGAGCCGTTGTGCTGATATTTCAATATGTGTTAGTGTTTTCCTATGCAAAAACAGCGGCGAAATGTAACGGAACGGTTTTTCTGAAGGGGATGTGTGTGGAAAATATTGTCTTGTTCATTGGTATGGGGGAGGGGTCTTCAACTCTGATCATGGGAGTATGTATGTGTGGGCTCTCGGCGGAACGAGACAGCAAGACTTCGATTGCGATGGGTACAGAAGAAGACAAAAATGTTCCGTTATGCGAGTTCTCATGTGTAGTAGAGATGACAAGTAGGTTTCTATTATGTGGTGATGGGAGTAAATGCTGTGAAATGGGCTCACAATATTTTAACGCATTCACGTTTTTTCTAATACGAAAATTTTAGGTAACATAATATTTATTGCATGTTCCTATAAAAATAATAATATGATATGCTAAATAATAATATGCAAAAACTTAAAGGGTCACCAAAATCCGTATCTAATTTAAACAAGGTAAAATGTCCGGACCTTCTCCCATTTAAAAGGCTCAAATGTTGCACACAAAAGTAGTATGCATGTAAAATATCGAACTAGAACAATAGGCATCCATATGAAGTCAAATATTTTTATGATCACGACTTTATTGGCATACGAATCGATAGGGGAGTGTCGATGTGTTGCTAAATTTTAACCGCTGCCGCAGCACTGCTTCGTGTTTTCCTCCTCCTTTCGTTCTCTATTCTCTATACGTTTTTTGTGGGACTAAACCAGTGGTCTGAGAGGAAACTTATTACGGATTAAATGTTTTGCTTCGAAAAGTCGAGGATCTACAGTTTCAGAATCAATGATAAGGACGCGCAAACAGCTCTTCATATGTATTTTCTTTAAAACCAATTAACAATTTACAGGTCATTCGTTTGTACATATGTAGGTATGTATGTGTGTGTATGCAACATTAAAATGTATATTTTTCCTGTTGCTGATATTTTTGAGATTTCCTTTACAGCACCATCTGCAGTGCGAATACTGCGAACAGGGCCATTGCACTCAGGGCCAAATAACGGATCGCTCCAGAGGCATTGCACAGATCGCCCTTGCAGGTGAAGCAGCTCTCCACCTGACGGCTGTGTGTTACTGTGCATTCATTGTCCTTCTGCCCAATCAACTCAAAGTGGCAGTCGCGGGAGACAATGACTCCGGCGCGGTCTGCAAGTGTGGAAAAGTTACGGAGAAAATATTTATTAGAAAAATGTAAGACAAGAAATTTGTGCTTGGGTGTGCATGCATGTGTGTTGCCGACGGAACGAGATGTCTTCATTTTCGATGTGTAAAAGGAGAGGCAAAAAACTATTCCGTTTTGAGAATTCGTATTTGAAAAAGAGATGGCAAATACTTCGAAATTTTAATAATAGGCAACAACAAAATCTGTTGGTGATGGGGAAACAAAAGAAGTGATCAAGGTAGGTAAATATAAACATGAATACCCTTCCCTGCATTCATCGGTATGTACAAAGTTGTATACCTCACTTTCCGTCTGAACTACTGACACCTTCTCTGTTTAATAGTTGCTAACTGTCTGCTGTTCATTTTCTTATGTTGAAAACATTTAGAAGATAATTGGAAAATTCAGAAATTCGATTATCCTTTTTACTGTCGATTGTTATTAATCTTTTTATTTACAGATATCTACTATATTCGCCATGATATTTGAAATTTCACCTATTATAATTGCATCGGATGAATGTCTTACTATCCACTGCTTAACGCGTAACACTGCGTAACGCACTGTGTGCGCCTGCTTTGCATTACCTTTTTTTTTGCCATATGTTAAATGGCACGCACACTGCCTGTCTGCCGACCTTACCCCCCGCCAACAAATCATCATTTATTGGGTGACATCACGTCTTTTTAAATTGTTTACGTTTTCCGTTTAAGGTGCGGCGAGTTTTGTGTGTGTGTATGTACTGTTTATTTGTATGCATGGAAGAACGCAAATTATCACTTACCGCTGGTGACCACCTTGTTGCATTTGGTCACTGGCTGCAGCTGATCCATGATATTCGGCCTGGCCACATTATCGCAGTCCACCTGCCGTATGTTGGACCCCGCATCGAGCTTCTCCTTGGCGCAGTTGGAATCCGTTAGGGACTTGCACTGATAGCAATTAATGGCCGTGGCTGTGTGGGAAAATAGGCAACGGAGAACGAGATTGAGTCTAACTTTGTTTACGTATGCCACACTCGAAACGAAGACTTTGTCAAGGTTGGGGGAGATTTTTATTTGCTACACTGTGTTTGTAACCAGTTTGGACAGCCCCTGGCCCCCCACTACCTCCCGCGGTACCATTATGTAACGACAACACAAATTCTCTAACCCTCTTGATCTTTATTTGTGCTTTTTGTTTAGTTATGAAGTCACCATTTTGCATATTTGTCTTGGCAAAATGGTATGGAAAATTACGTGAATATTTGTGCATTTTTTGTTCGCCGTTTTAGTATGTGATAAATAAGGAAATGTTTTTTCTTTTGAATGCCTTAAGGCAAAATATGAATGATCTGATCTCAAAAACATTATTGCAGTCAATTTTGGATTCTATTTTCTAGATGATATTCAATTGTTATAGTGTGTAAAAAATTCCACTGTATTTATTGATTTAAATCGGTTTTAGGCTTGTCTACAATTTTTGTATATCAATGTAAAACCTTTCAACCATTGATTTTACTTCTACAACATCTTCATTTAATAGGACAGGTTTTTGTCATTTCACTCAAAAACAATATTTCGTAAGGCACTAATTTGAGGCACTTTCAATGATAAAAGTCACTCACCAGTGTGCATCAGGCACAAGGTAATAAGCAAAACACCGAAAATTTGTTTCCACATGTTTCTTCACTTTATATTTCTTTAAAAATATTTTTTTAATTATATTGTAAGCAAAATGCACTATAATCTTTAGTAACTTTCGGGCTGAC